ATGCCGGTGAAACTAAACTTCCATTAAATAAACGAATGAACTTACACCGCTCTGACTGGAAAACACGAAAATTTAACAGATCCCCAGTTGATGAACATTTTCACCTTGGGGACACAGTTTTAAAGACGTGTCCCTCTGTTGTATTGAACATACAAAAGTGGTCAGATATAACACGGAAATCACGCGAGACACACTGGATTCGCCGACTGAATACCCTAGAGCCATCAGGAATCAATAAAGGAGACTAATTTTAACACTTATTCTCGCCCATTCTTGACAAACTGTTTTAAACCTTTAGTTATCAGGCGGTGCCGGGGAGGGCTCTTTTTCCCTGGCCTGAGAGCATCTCTATTACTTTCACCTTATCGTAAATTTCCACTTCATATGATATCACACTGTTTGTAACTTGCATTTTCTTACATTATACTTTTAGTAATAAAAACACAAAACGCTCTTATATGTGAAGTTTTATTTATTTATTTCTTTTTTGTTTTTTATAGATATATTTAACCGAGTTTATGCCATATTGAACGCAGGCTATATTTTCTTTTGTAAAGTATAACACAATGACCATTCAATAACGGTCTATTCAAAATCGATGTAATTTTATCACCTTTCCAGCGACTGTGTTTCAGTACTATACAGTACACGCGTATGGAGATTTTGTGCTCTATTGTGTGCACATTATACATGTAACACACCCCTGATGAAGGCATAATACGCCGAAAGTGCTTGTGCATTTATACTTTAGCACTGTATGAACGTTTATTTTCTCCTAATATATATAGAGGATATTCAAGTTTTTTCTATAAATACATGATTTATTTTCATCGAGTGGTATGAAAATAAATATTTCATGAGTGGCGGTAGCCACGAGTGAAATATGGTAATTTTCATGCCACAAGATGAAAATAAATCATGTATTTATAGAAAAAACTTGAATTTTCTGTTTATTATATACATTTTTCTCTTTTTTGCGATAAAATTTGAAAGACTTTCCCTTAAATTTTGTGTACTGGCAGAATTTAAAAGAAAGTAGTCCGGCAAGACACCAGTGAAAATACGGAAAATATGTTTCACTGCAGTGAAAAATAAATTTTTACAATGAAAATACGGAAAATGAAAATATGCATTTTATTTCATCAATATTTCTCAATATTTCATTTATAAGTATATAATAAATATATTTTATTCTTTGTTACTATAAATGGTATACTACGGTGGCTCAAAGGTGACATGTGTGTGTTTTTATTTATCTCTTGGCCACGAGGTACTACGTCGTGGCCACGAAAATATGTATATATATATATATTTATTATATACTTATACATGAAATATTGAGAAATATTGATGAAATAAAATGCGTATTTTCATTTTCCATATTTTCACTGTAAAAATTTATTTTTCACTGCAGTGAAACATATTTTCCGTATTTTCACTGGTGTCTTGCCGGACTACTTTCTTTTAAATTTTGCCAGTACACAAAATTTAAGGGAAAATTTTTCAAATTTTAATATCAACAAGATTGCATTTGAGAAAAATGCTATGCCACCGCATGGTTCAAATTTCATAGCTGTACACCAAAGGACAATAAAGTAGGTCACATCATCAAAATCTAGGTCAGCTGATATCAAAGTTCAATTTTACAACTAAAACTGTGCACATGGTCAAAATGTCATTGCTGTACATCAAAGGACAAGAAAGTAGGTCACTGTCCCCTTGGGCAAGGCATAATTTTGACCCAAGGGTTTAATTCAAAACAATTTTGATACAGGTCCACCAAACAACATTTCAAGTTAAATATCTAAGCTATAGCTTTCTCCCATTCAGAAAACATTTGTTTTATTTTCTGTTTTTACTATGTGTACATAATGAGAATCACTGCCTCCGGGCAGGGCCAATTTTGACACCAGGGGAAAATTTTGAACAACTTTGGTAGAGGACCTATAAATGATATTATATATCAAACATCAAAGCTCTATGCCTTGTACCTTCAGACAAAAATATTTTTTATTTTTTCACTATATGTACATAATGAAAATCAATGACCCCCGGGGCGGAACCAATTTTGACCCCAGGGCTATAATTTGAACAATCTTGCCAGAGGTTCACTACACAATGTTTCATGCAAAATATCTTAACTCTAGCCTTGTAAATTTAGAGAAGATGATTTTTTAAGTTTGTACTATATACATATAAGGAAAACCTATGGCCACCAGGGGGCGGGGCTAATTTTGACACAAGAGGCAAAATTTGAATAAATTTTGTAGAGTACCTTCAGATGATATAATTTAACAAATATTAAAGCTCTAAGCCTTGTACCTTCAGACAATAAGATTTATTTATTTTTTACTATATGTATATATTGAAATCAATGACCCCAAGGGCGGGGGCAATTTTGACCCCAGGGCTATAATTTGAACAATCTTGCTAGAGGTTTACTACACAATGTTTCATGCAAAATATCTAACCTCTAGCATTTGTCAATTGCTAGAAGAATTTTTTTTGAAGTTTTTACTATAAGTTTTTACTATATACATATAAGGAAAACCAATGACCCCCGGGGCGGGGCCGATTTTGACCCCAGGCCTACAATTTGAACAATCTGGGTAGAGGTCTACCAGACAATGCCTTACGCAAAATATATAAGCTCTAGGCCTTTTGGGTCTTTACAAGAAGGTGTTTTAAGTTTTTACTATATGTACATATAGTGAAAATCAATGACCCCGGGGCGGGGCCGATTTTGACCCAAGGGCTATAATTTGAACAATCTTGGTAAGGGTCTACCAGAAGATGCCTTATGCAAAATATCTAAGCTCTAGGCCTTTTGGGTTTTTACAAGAAGGTATTTTAAGTTTTTACTATATGTACATAATGAAAATCAATGACCCTCGGGGCGGGGCCAATTTTGACCACAGGGCTATAATTTGAACAATCTTGTTAGAGGTCTACCAGACAATGCCTTATGCAAAATATCTAAGCTCTAGGCCTTTTGGGTCTTTACAAGAAGAATTTTTAAATTTCTTCTTATAATTCCTTTTGGTTGCCATGGCAACCAGATTTCTGCATGGAATGAAATTCTTTGAACAACTTTGGAAGCCCTTCACCCAAGGAACAATCCTGCCAAGTTTGGTTGAAATTGGACTAGTGGTTTTTCACAAGAATATTTTTTAAGTTCACTATATAATCTATATAACACACACACACACACAAACACACACACAAACACACGCACACACACACAGGTGAATCGCTATATGCCACCGCATCGCAGATGCTGCGGTGGCATAAAAAGGAGAAAAAATGTATATAATAAACAGAAAATTCAAGTTTTTCTATAAATACATGATTTATTTTCATTTTGTGGTATGAAAATAAATATTTCATGAGTGGCAGTTACCATATTTCACTCGTGGCTACTGCCACTCATGAAATATTTATTTTCATACCACTCAAGGAAAATAAATCATGTATTTATAGAAAAAACTTGAATATCCTCTATATATATATATATATATATATATATATATATATATATATATATATATATATATATATATATATATATATATATATAATATATATATATATATATATATATATATTTAAAACGTGATAAATGTTCCTTGTGCAGTGTTGAAATAGATAAAATTATAATGTTTAAGAAATAACAGACTATGTAAATTCGGTAGCGCTTTCAATGATTTCTTCGCATATCTTCAGCCGAAACTTTAATGAACAATAAACATATATATATATATAACTTTTGAAGAAAAAAGCCTTGGTGTGAGTCACTTGTTAGGGACATTGACCTTGGTCAGAAGATAACCCCTATTGTTTGTGAGGTCAGTAGGTTAAAATCAACATGGCCTTGATGACAAAAATGGATTATATTATCAAGCAATATATATTTCAGTACTTTCAGTGCTTTGATTTCATTTGGAAGGGACATTGCCCATGGACAGTAGATAGCCTATAAGGTAAAATCCTTGTCTGGTGAATAATTTAGAAGGGATAAGCCATGGTTTATATTACCCAGAAAGATCATTGCACCTGATCAGTAGATGACATCTAATAATTTCGAGGTCATTGGGTCAAAAATCAGGGGTCACAGTGACGCTAAATGTAAAATTATTGACCAGTCAATATGTTGTATAAATAGCACTTTTAGAGGCTGGTGAAGTAGGGGCATCCTTGTACTTAGTTAATTAGGGAAATTCATATAAATGGTGTAATGAGTACACTGATTGGTTATTTATCTCGTGGCCACGACTAAGTAACTCGTGGCCACAACATAGTATCTCGTGGCGACGACATAGCTATTTCGTGGCCACGACTTAGTATCTCGTAGCCACGACATAGTATCTCGTGGCCACGACATAGTATCTTGTGGCCACGACTTAGCTTTCTCGTGGCCACGACTTAGTAACTCGTTGCCACGATATAGTATCTCATATTTCAAGTTTTGTAAAAATATTTTCATTACTTATTTAGTTATTGCGTTATCACTGGATCCAGTTAATGTGTTAAATTAGCCATATTTTCAGTCTATTTTTTGACATAGTAACCAAAGTATCATAGGAAGAAAAGAAAAGAACGTGCATACTCTCCAGACTGCCATCTATCCAAATATCAAGTTTCATATAAATATTTTCAGTACTTTTTGCGTTATCGCGGGATCCAGTTTTGTGGACGGACGGACGTACAGACGGATGGAGGGTAAACCTAAAATCCCCTCCGGCTAAACCGGTAGAGGACTAATTCAAAAGATTTCATGTACACATGTTATCCATTCATGAGCTCGAATATTAACTTATGCATATGCATTAATAGCATTCAAAACAGGTTACTTACACAGTACATTATTGCAGTTATAATATCATTTTTAATATATTATTCATCGAGAGAAAAGCTTATTGCCACTTTATTGTATAATTAAATAGTTTTAGAGAAGCAACAAAACTAGGGCCTCGGAGACAGTTTATGGAACAAATTTGTACCTAGAACTTGAATGTTGCAATGTATCCCAGCATTACGCAATTCTTCTCCTTCTAGCGCTGTGGCCACTGCAAAGTGCGAGATCCCGTGCTTCTCCAAAAACCGCGACACTGCTACAGCACCATGACCGTAAGCGTTTGCTTTCACAACAGCAATTAATTCTGAAATGTAACAACAAAATATGTATACAATTACAAAAATAACTTAATGCTTTTATTTACGCTTCGTTTTATGGACAGTTAAAAATCTCTATGTGGTTCAATGTTGTTTTTTTGTGTCTTTTAACTTCTAAAATTGGTTTATGCCCATTATCTACCCAAAGTTACTCGTTATTTATGAAAACAAATCTGACTATATTTATCGATCAGTGTCCAAGATTTGTGTCATTCTATATAGAACTACCGTTAACAAATTAACAAAATTTATTATATAAAATCGCCAAAAATACGCACAATGGTGGTCGGGAAATACGAAAGAAACTTTATAAAATGGACAATAACGGATATGCAGGTATTCGGTCATACTCTGGCTAGAAAAATGTTTTTTATCGTATCGATGCAGATCTATACGAAAGAGCATTAGTGCCAGGTGTATGTTTTTTATTAACTCGAAATTTCGAGTTACTAACTCAAAATTTCGAGTTAGTAACTCGAAACTCGAAATTTCGAGTTAGAAATTTCGAGTTAATAAAAAACATACACCTGGCACTAATGCTCTTCCGTAGATCTAAGCAGAAAAATGAAATTATTTTAAATGGAAAACAATGGAAAACAAAATTAAAAATATGTACCTGTATGTTTAGCCAAGTGATTTTTCAGTATTTTTAGATTATCCAAAATTGTGTCTAAATTCACTCTGACAAAGGTCGGTCTGCGTGCGAGTGAAAATTCCTTCGAAAAACCAGATTTATTCCTTTCTTTCCCCATTGGCTCCTCCGTATATAATTTCAAACAAGAATAACTTTTATATACGCAAACATTGACTGAGATAATATTAGAACAGACAAAAACACTCTATCCGCATAAACACTGGAATGTTTCGGTCGAGATAAACCTCCTCAGAGAAACTGTCGGTTTATTGAAAGATTCCGGTTGTTTATGTCAGTTAAATTTGGTTATAGTTTGTTTATGTGTACTACTGTGACTTAAATTCGACTCGGTAACACAAGTTTTTTATATGTCAGTATTTTTCCATTGCAAGTCAATCTGAACATTTAAACAATCGATGCAATGTGACCGTTACTTAATACACCTGTATTGTAATCCTTATTTATTTTAACACTTGATCCATAAATCAATTGTGTCGAGTCTTTCTATTCTGCGGACAATTGACATGGTGTAAGGAAAAAGTATTTCACTAGTTTCCGTTTTATGGAAGAAAAAAAACACAAAACGTTTAACACCCGTTTCTTAATTTGAATTGATATTCACATAGATTTATTCAGGCTTTGTATCAATAAAGCAGGACAATCTATTGTACTATTTTAAACTCCAAATGAAATCCTTTGTAAATCCTATCTCAACTTATCTTAATTAATCCGATCAAAAGTCCATTTTTCATATTAATTCCTATATAGGATAGGACACATTCTGTATAGAGCAAATATTCTGAAACATTGAATATTGACTTTTTGCTTTTTCGGGTCATGTGTGTACATGAATTTATTGACATAACTAGCGCTATTTTCATGTTTACATAACCTCTTGGTGTAAGGTCAACGATCTCATGTTTCATTCATATCTAGTACGGGGGAATGGCAGGTGAACAAAAATACGCATGTGAAGAAAACTTTTTTTCTGATGATGATTAGTAACACAGAAGTCTGGAATACGTCAGTGTGTGAATGGAAAATCACAGCCTCTCTCTGAGATCAATAACACAGTGTGTACGTCGTCTGTGGAATTCTTCCAAGATATTTCCAGTTCCCTTCTTCTTTGGCAATGTTTATTGGATATATGTTTAAAGCAACTGATGTGAAATATTTCCATCACCTGTAACTAAAGTTTCCTGTAACAAGAATGCATTATATTGCTCACAGGGTACGGCGTCAGGTCAGGGACTACAGTATCCGCCCCAACCTCTTTACAAGCCAAAAATATTTATATGAGTAGAATCATTTGAGCCGTGTCATGACAAAACCAACATAGTGGGTTTGCGACCAGCATGGATCCAGACCAACCTGCGCCTCCGCGCAGTCTGATCAGGATACATGCTGTTCGTTATCAGTTTCTTTACTTGTGATTGGGTTTGTAAGCGAACAGCATAGATTCTGATCAGACTGCGCGAAGGCACAGGCTGGTCTGATTCCATGCTAGTCGCAAACCCATTATGTTGGTTTTGTCACGGCACGGCTCATTTAAAGTATAACAATTGTCACTGATTCATGACAGTGTAATAAAAACATCCAGCTTACTGGTCATCCGTAATAACTACACATGCATATAGATGTGTGAAGTTGGCGGCCTAGCGACCCAACGGCCTGGCGGTGTGAAGTTGGCGGCCTAACGGCCTGGCGACGTGAAGTGGCGGCCTAGCGGTGTGAAGTTGGCGGCCAAGCCAGCCAACAAAACACGTCCGCCATGTTTACTACCCTTTTATATGCATGTGTAGTTATTACGGATGACCAGTAAGCTGGATGTTTTTATTACACTGTCATGAATCAGTGACAATTGTTATACTTTAAATGATTTTACTCATATAAATATTTTTGGCTTGTAAAGAGGTTGGGGCGGGTACTGTAGTCCCTGACCTTAGGACAATCTTAGGACAATCCTTGTTATTTAAAGTTATGTAAAGGATATATAAAAAGAAATAAGAGCCACCGCCGGGCGGAGGCAACGCTCGACTTTTTACTTTTTCTTAAAGCAAACAAAGAAATGTTTGAACAAATCTTAACGTTTCCTTTTTATAAATTTAATCGGTCTGTCTTGTCACATTAGTTTTGTCTATGTATTTTGTATATATAAATAAACTCATTTATATAAATATATATATATATATAGAAACACGCAATGCATTCTATAAATAGAAACACGCAATGCATTCTATAAATAGAAACACGCAATGCATTCTATAAATAGATAAACGCAATGCATTCTATAAATAGAAACACGCAATGTATTCTATAAATAGATACACGCAATGCATTCTATAAATAGATAATGCATTCTATAAATAGATACACGCAATGCATTCTATAAATAGAATATTGTTGTTGTTTGTTGTTGATGATGATGATGATTATGATTATGATAATATATATTTACATACACACCAATAAATTTAATGCACAAATCTGAGAAAATTCAGTAATTTAACCTTCAAGATCAATGTCATTGAAGAGCCCAAGTCAATTTGGGTTTGATAAACAAGGTCTTGTCCTTAAGAATATTCTATTATAATATGAAGTTGATCCCTTCAATAATAGTAAAGTAACAGCCAGTTACAACCAAAACAATGAAACTTTAATAATTTGATCTTCAAAGTCAAGGTCATTTATGAGTGAAGGTCAAGGTCTGTCTGGTTATTTTTAAGGGATACCCTTGAAGATTATTATGTTCAAGTTTGAAGATAATCCATTCAAAAAAAAAGTTACAGCCAATAATAGCAAGGACAAGAAAATTTGGACTTTTGACCTTGAAGGTCAAGGTCATTTATGGATGAAGGTCAAGGTTAGTGTGGTCTACTGAAAGGTCTTGTCCGAAGGGTTGTTGTGGCCAAGTATGAAGATAATACATCAAGAAATAAAAAAAGTTATGATCCAGGTACAAGTTTGCGGACGGCAACGGCAACGCCGCCGCGACTATAGCAACACCTCTACTTTTTTTTCATAAAAAAAACGATGGGCTAAAAAATCACTTTGAGAAAGATTTTTATTTAAAAAGCCTGAAATTTTACAGTTGTAGAAATGCTATAAATATGATAAAATCGGGACATAATGAAATTTTTAAGACTATTTTTGATATTTAAAGGTATATATTAAAAAGAAAAAATATCAATTTGAGAGATTTTTTTCTATCATTTTTGTGAAGCATGGCGGCCTGAAATTTTAATGTTGTAAAAGTTTGGAAAAGAATTGAAAAACGACCCTTAATTAAGTTTTAAAGACATATCTTTTCATTTAACAGTTATATAAAAGAAAAAAATATCACATTAAGAAAGGTTTTTTTTTCTCTAGCGACCTGGCAGTTGGAAATTTTACAGTTGTAGAAATGTTATAAATATGATAAAAACGAGACTTTATGAAGTTCTTAAGACTATTCTTGATATTTAAAAGGTATATTAAAAGAAAAAAATCTTGTTCAGAGAACTTTTCGATTTTATCATTTTTGTGAAGTTGGCGGCCCAGCGGCCCAGCGGCCTGACGGCCAAAAAATTTAATGTTGTAGAAATGTTATTTCAACAATAAAACGGCATTAATGAAGTTCTAAAGACAATTCTTGTTATTTAAAGGACATATAAAAAGAAAAAAAATATCAATTTGAGAAAACTTCTTTTATTTGATCATTTTTGTGAAGTTGGCGGCCTGGCGGCCAAACGGCCTAGCGGCCTAAAATTTTAATGTTGTCTAAGTTTTGAAAAGAATTGAAAAACGACTCTTAATTAACTTTTAAAGACATATCTTATCATGTAACAGTTATATTATTAGTTATAAAGATCGTTGACAGGTTATATGGCCCTATATAAACGGCTATTCGTAAATATAACCCGAGCCGTTAGGCGAGGGTTATATTGCAAACAGCCGTTTATAAACGGCCATATAACCTGTCAACAATCTTTATAACGAATTTATAATACAGCAAGCATCATTTTTAGAGAAAAAAAGTAAGATTTCTTCATGAATCGACAGCAGCCGTGTATTTAAAACTATATAAACGTCACGATTATCCAATGAAAAGTGACGTTACAAACGTGCAGTATTATAAAAATGAAAAACATCACATTTAGAAAGTTTTTTTTTATCTGGCGACCTGGCAGGTTGTAGAAATGTTATAAATATGATAACACGAGACTTTATGAAGTTCTTAAGACTATTCTTGATATTTAAAAGGTATATATAAAGAAAAAAAATCACTTTGAGAGATTTTTTTCTATCATTTTTGTGAAGTTGGCGGCCTAGCGGCCTGACGGCCAAAAATATTCAATGTTGTAGAAATGTTATTTAAACAATAAAACGGCATTTAATGAAGTTTTTTTAAGACAATTCTTGTTACATAAAAGATATATAAAAAGAAAATATCACATTGAGAAATTTTTTTATTTTATCATTTTTTTGTGAAGTTGGTGGCCTTGCCGCCTAGCGGCGTAAAAATTACGGTTATAGAAATGTTACAAAAATGAATTCTTGTTATTTAAAAGATATATAAACAAAGGATCAATTGGAGAGATCTTTTATCATTTTTGTGAAGGTAGCTGCCTAAACTTATATATATATGATTAGCCTGAATCCGTTGATATTTTTTGCATATTCATTACATAGCGTTATTTCATACTTATTTGTGTTTTTGATAATACCGATTTGCCGAACAGGAGCACATAAAAATTGACAGACTTGAACGCAGGCTTATATATGGTGTACAATTTCTGTATCAAATATGAATGGTCCTTAATGAAGTTTTAAAACATTTTTTTCGGGTCCCATCCAATTTATTCTCCCCGTCCAAACGATGAGTATAGGTCAGGTAATCATCCTTTACTAACCTTACAAAACAACTTTTGCTTACACATTTATTAACAATAACTCATTATTATAACATGAGGTTATGATCATACACTTGTGTAAATAACATTTCTGCAACATTAAAAATTTTGGCCGCCAGCCACTGGCCACTGACTTCACAAAAAATGATAAAATAACAAAAATTTCAAAGTGATTTTTTCTTTTTATATATCCTTTAAATACTAAGAAATACATTTAGAACTTCATTAAATGCCGTTTTATTGTTTAAATAACATTTCTGCAACATAAAAATTGTTGGCCGCTGGTCGCTGATTTATAAGATAAAAAAAAAATCTCAGTGATTTTTTTAGCTCGACTTTTTTTTTGAGGTATTGTGATAGTCGCGGCGGCGTTGCCGTTGCCGTCCGCAAACTTGTACCTGGATCATAACTTTTTTAGTTCTTGGTGTATTGTCTTCATACTTGGCCACAAAAACCCTTGGGACAAGACCTTTGAGTAGACCACACTAACCTTGACCTTCATCTATAAATGACCTTGACCTTCAAGATTAAAAGTCCAAATTTGGCTGGTTCTTGCTATTTTTGGCTGTAACTTTGTTATTTTTTAATGGATTGTCTTCAAACTTGAACATACATGTAATAATCTTCAAGGATATCTCTTAAAAATAACCAGACAGACCTTGACCTTCACTCATAAATGACCTTGACTTTGAAGGTAAAATTATTGAAATTTTCATTTTTTTTTGCTATTATTGGCTGTAACTTTGTTATTTTTAAATGGATTGTCTTCAAACTTGAACATAATAATCTTCAAGGATAACCCTTAAAAATAACTAGACAGACATTGACCTTCACTCATTAATGACCTTGACTTTGAAGGTCAAATTATTGAAATTTTCATTGTTTTGGCTGTAACTGGCTATTTATAGAATTGCGTGTTTCTATTTACATTACATACAAATTAGTATATTTATATATACAAAATAAATAGACATAGACAAAACTAATGTGACAAGACAGACCGATTAAATTTATAAAAAGGAAACGTTAAGATTTTGTTCAAACATTTCTTTGTTTGCTTTTAGAGAAAGTAAAAAGTCGAGCGTTGCCCCCGCCCGGCGGTGGCTCTTGTCCTTTTTATATATCCTTTAAATACTAAAAAATGTCTTTAGAACTTCATAAAATGCCGTTTTATTGTTTAAATAACATTTCTGCAACATTAAAATTTTTGGCCGCCAACCGCTGGCCGCTGACGTCACAAAATATGATAAAATAAAAAAAAAATCTCAAAGTGATTTTTTTTCTTTTTATATATCCTTTAAATACTAAGAAATGTCTTTAGAACTTCATTAAATGCCGTTTAATTGTTTAAATAACATTTCTGCAACATTAAAATTTTGGCCGCTTGCCGCTGGCCGCCCGGCCGCCAACTTCACGCCGCCAGCCGCTGGGCCGCCAACTTCACGCCGCCGGCCGCCAACTTCACACATCTTTTAATGTCTCCTTTTTTTTAAAATGATTGTGGAGTTCGTCAAGGAGAAAATTTGTCTCCTGCACTTGTTTCCATCTACCTTAATGATCTCGAGACCTATTTAGAATCAAACAATACAGGCTTTAAAATAGAGCAGACAGATCTTGGATCCGACCTTTACTTGAAACGTTTTATACTGTTATATGCCGATAAAACTATTATAGTTAGTGACGATCCTGCTGCTTTTCAAAAACTTTTGGATGATTTTTATGATTATAATTGTGTAAAATGGAAACTTAAAATAAACATGACAAAAACTAAAATTGTAATTTTCGGATCAAAAAAAATAAGCAAATATTATTTTACAATTAACAAGGAACCAAAGAATACAAATAACTCGGGACACTATTTACCCCGTCTGGCAGTTTTCTTAGTACAAGAAAACACCTGTCTAACCATGCATATTCTTTACTATAAACCGATTAAATTATAAAAAGGATAACGTTAAGATTTTGTTCAAACATTTCTTTGTTTGCTTTTAGAGAAAGTAAAAGTCGATGCGTTGCCCCCGCCCGGCGGTGGCTCTTGTCCTTTTTATATACTCTTAAATTACTAAAAAATGTCTTTAGAACTTCATAAAATCCGTTTTATTGTTAAATAACATTTCTGCAACATTAAAATTTTTGGCCGCCAACCGCTGGCCGCTGACGTCACAAAATATGATAAAATAAAAAAAAAATCTCAAAGTGATTTTTTCTTTTTATATATCCTTAAATACTAAGAAATGTCTTTAGAACTTCATTAAATGCCGTTTAATTGTTTAAATAACATTTCTGCAACATTAAAATTTTGGCCGCTTGCCGCTGGCCGCCCGGCCGCCAACTTCACGCCGCCAGCCGCTGGGCCGCCAACTTCACGCCGCCGGCCGCCAACTTCACACATCTTTTAATGTCTCCTTTTTTTTAAAATGATTGTGGAGTTCGTCAAGGAGAAAATTTGTCTCCTGCACTTGTTTCCATCTACCTTAATGATCTCGAGACCTATCTCAGCAAATCACCTTTTTCAATATCTTTAAAAAAAGTAATTTATAAAAAGTGAAGGTCAATCTCGTAATCACGTGGTCAAACATTTTGGCAATATGGCGGCCAAGTGCCGAAATTTTTACCTGTCGGAAACTATTAGGTAGTTTATGTTCGTAATAAGATTTTTATTTGTCTATCCTTGGCTTATCAACAGATTATATATAGTTTTATCAAGGTATGCTTCACTTTACTTCATGGCATGTTCGATGAATGAATACGAGCGTGTCAGATTCCTGGCACGATTATTGGTGGAATTCCCTTACGGGGTTGTCTTCAGCGTTCACGTCAAGTCATAGTATATAAACGGGTACGCTGTAGCTAAAGAGACTTCAGCGAACAGGTTTTATAGTACTGCTAGACCTGTTCGCTGAAGCCAATCCCGTATCAAAAGTCAACCAGAACCGTGACATATTTATGTCATGCTGTAATTCAATAAATTTGCGTTATCTGGACAAAAGCTATTTTAATACAGGTAGTTAGATATATTTGGGACATTTCAGTCTATATTTTTGAATACAGAACGTTAGATTGATGAAATAATGCCTCAAAGTTTATCAGTGGGTTCACATTTCATAACATTCACCGCCTTTGCTGCCCTAATTATCACGTGACTAGCGAGAATTTAGGTTTGGATACCTTTGCATGACATGGTGACCCGTGACCCAAATGCTATTTTTAATTGAAAACATGGCTTTGCAATTATGAATAACGGTGTATTTATTCAATAACAGACATTGTACCAAAAACATGTTGGACTTATATTGTTTTGAGTGATGATTCATGAATTATTTGATTGTTTCAATTTAAAATCGTACACTTATAAAAATACAATGTAGTGTATGTTCCGTTACTAAAAATAGATGCTAGAATTCCCAAAACTTGAAGTCCCGCGAGATTTCATTTGAAAGCAGACTCCATATTGGTAAACATTCTCTACATATTTCCCTAACAAATAGTTGGGTACACAATGTTATTAAAGTTTCATTTAAAAACAAAACGAATTGATTCAAAATTGGTTTGTTTATCAAATGGTATTTTTATTTGACCCAAATTTGATTAATAAGGGTGATCAGGTATATACCTGGGGTATATAATATATTATTCAATGAGTGAAGGGTGTTGCCGGTTGATAAATATAAAGTATACAATTCAGTAAATGAACAGTAGTTGATACAATTATTCTGTGACACACATGTTCAAATATAATATTTAGGTTACATGTACAGTCAAAACTGTCTTATGTGACCCTACAGGGGACTTTCTTAAGAAGGTCGCATAAGACAGGGAGTCTCTTAATACAGGTTTACAGTAAAACATCCAAACACTATTAAAAAGTTAAATAATACTAATACAGCATATACATTTAGTGTTAAAACATTTATTTATGATAAGAGCAGTAAAAGTGTGTACAGTGTTAAAATTGTATACATGTAAAATGCTATTGAATATTTGATTGTAAAATTGATTATTAAAAATTAATGTTTATATATTTAATAAAATTATTAAAATGTCAGAATTAAATTGTTTCTTTACCGTGTTAAAAATTTATACATGTACAATGATATTGATATTTAAAATTCATGATTTTGAAACTAATAAAATAATGTCAGAATCACATTGTGTCTTTCATTTAAGTTGTCCTATTGAAAAAAAATCACTTATTTTTGACTGTTTACTTTTGCTTGCAACTAGACCTCTAGTTTTGACAAATGGTACATTATACTGGCATGTCCATGTTGCAATGCATAAGATTTCAGTTGTAACACCATTTCATTTGCTTGGGTCATTGATGGAGCATTTTGCATGACAGACCCTTGAGCGTCATCCATTTCTTCAATTTCATCTTCACTGTCATCAGAATTTTCCTCATTTATATGAGTCAATATGTCACATACAGGTTTTTCCCAATTATTAGAGTTGTGCGGACGATAACGGACTGTGAAAGTGAAGCGTGAAGTACGTACTGTTTTGTGGGGTTGTCTCAAAATAATAAAGTTTGCTTGATGTTTTATTGATAATCATGCAACTACAGTAAAATGTGACAATATGCCAGCTTTTAATTTTTACAAACAAAAATTGTTAATCAATTAGACCAACATGTTTTTTTTTTCGACAAACAAGTGACACACAAATTCTTACAACAATCGTAAGTAAATCACGCGGGTGTCTCCAAATTGAGCTTACGCTTCTATATTGTTTAACTTGGCATATAGCATGTTCTACTTTAACTCTGTAACGACCCACATATCTATTAAGAAGCACGCACGTATTTTGCCAGTGTTGTCAATAACTATCTGTGAATGCAAGCAGTGGTAATGCCTGTGTCCTGAGAAGTACTGTTGCTGGTTGATTTTTGGTCTGTAAATCTCATGGCTTGTGCCAACTATTGCTCCAACAGCAGGCACTATTTTAGGCCAATTCCATCGCAAATTCTGCCACTCGTTAATTGTTGGCCATTCAATAAATTGTTTTAGGTACCCATCCATTTTAGGAAGGAGGCCTCGGACTGTATCCTTAACGGACGAGACACTGATATTAAAGAAAACAGATAGTGTTCTGTATGTCGGGTATGTTCGCAGCCAGATCACAACGAGCAGCAAACTATTACGTCTCGATAGTGTATTGTTATTTTCGGAAAAGGGAACTGAATTGACAAGTTGAATGAATTTTTCTGGACTCTCGCCAGTTATTTCAAAGAACTCGTACCTTTGCGAGGATATGAGATCGAACACATTTCGACCAAGATATTGCGCTTCATAGTCTGAAAATAATCTGTTACGAAGATCCATCAATGCATTAGGTGGTGGTCTTCACATCGCTAATATCAAATTTTTAAAAACTTGTTCAAAATCTTCGTAGTCGGGTGGAAGTTGGGCAGAGTGAATAAGTGCACGCACTAACTGTTCTCTTTGACCATTATTCATGTTCTTATCTAAAATAATAGATATTTTTAACGACAAATGCTATCATGAAAATACTGTAAGTATATTGAATATATTTTTATTTTAAAGCATTTATACGATTGATACGATTTACCATGATTATTATTATATTTGCGTATATTAATTTTACCACTCACAAATTTTAACCAGTTTACAGTGCATAAGTTTGCGTTAAACCTGCATGAAAAACCCGTGCTTTTTGTACATGTGATAACGTAGGTAAATTTTTCTTATAAACTTAATTAATTTTTCTTAAAAAATGAAAGTAAATAAATGTTTTATTAAAAATAAACTTACGTGCATTAATTATAATTCATCTAGACTGAATGTCATTATTTTATCACACTCTATTCACTTTATTCACACTCAAAACTACACGAATGTACTGTACGTTATATTGTCTAGGCCAAACAATTTTATTTTAATAAAAGTGTTAGATAATTTTTTCAAAATTTTGATAAAAATAACTGAATTTTAATTATAATAATAGCTATTATTATTATTATCATTATCATTATTATTAATTACTATTATAATCATCGTCATCATTATTATAATAGAAATTCAGTCATTTTTATTAAAATTTTGAAAACTTTATCTTACACTTTACCTTTCAAAATAAAATTGGTTAATGGTAATATTGATAATAAAATTATTATTATCTTTATTATTATTTTATTTTCAGTAACGATATTACAGCGCAACAAAAAAGCTGTGAAAATAACAGACGATGAAGTAAAATTGATGTTACGATCCTATTAAGCTAATCCAACAAAGTGGTCGGACATAATTGAAGAAATTAAACAAAATATTAACCAGTTAAGCCAGCCAGCCAAAGATCTTTATAGAAATGCAACTGGGAAGCAACTACGGGACCGTCTGTCAACAAAACTTAGCAAGCTGATGGCCAAACAGCCGAATCAGATCGAAAACATTGATATAAGGTAAGAATATTAGTGTAATTGTTGTAAAAAACGTTGTTTGTACTTTTGAAAGAAATTTGTTTGCAAAACGAAATAATGTTACAATACAATGTATATCATTAACAAAAACAGGTCATATTTGAGTACAAGACGATTTTAATGCGTTTTTACACAAACTTAGATTATATTTTATACCATTGAGAAACGATCATTGTTTCGTAAAGTACAACCATATTTTCCAATTAGCAACCAGTCATTAAATCCTAGTAAATTATAAACACTGTTATATTTATATGTATATTGTTTCAGAGAGCTTGTTACGGCCATAAAAGACGCAGAACGCAGGCTTGTAGACAGACCAGCAGCTGGACAAGCAGAACAGCCGAGGACAAAGCCTGCTGATGGACCGCAACCACAACCAGCCGGTCACGATCAAGCACAGCCGGAACAGCAGCGCCCCTCCCACACGAGACATACGCGACAATATAGCTGCTGGGCTTTTCTCTTCTGAGAGCGATAGTGACAACGACGTCAGCAGGGAGTCCCAAGAAAACAATAGGCGCAGACGTCGCCGTCCGCTCGCTGAACTAGTCCGGGAAAATCACGAACTATATAATAAGTTTATGAAGAGGAAAATGCCAAGGCTTTTGAGAGACATTGGCTACGATTCGTCTGAATCTAATTAGATGTTTTGCTTTCAAATACCATTTTAATAAAAAGTGTCTTGAATCCAGAAATAATTTGTATTTGCCTTGCTTTCAGCTTAATGTGTTTTGAGAAGTCCCCCAAATATAATATATAGTTCACGGACCGCTCTCCATGTTCATTGTCGTCCGCACAAGTACAATAAATACTTTCGGTATCACAAGTGTGAAGCTGATTATCAATTTGTAGCAAATCATTGAACGAGCACCCAAAAATTTCATATGACATTTTTAGGGCTGACAGTGGAACATCATCATCATCATCATCCATAACATCTTGATGTTGTTGCTCAATACCTATACGTCAGTAAATCCTACTCATTTAGCTATAAAATATACAATACGCGGTATTTTTCTCCCGCGGAAAATATGCTAGATCTATTGTTTGTTTTTTTTCACTGAATATTTTCAAATTTTAGGAAGGCTAAAATTATTGAGGACGTCGCTCTGTGTTTCTCTTTGACTCGATCTCCCCTTCATATTAACATAATGATGATATGTAACACTTTGAATCTACAAAAAAGAAAGAAAGAAAAACACTTATTGTCGCTTATTGAATGCTCCAATTCAAACATATTCTTAATAATATCAAATCACTGCCGATATTTCTGGACATTTTGTTAAATTGTGGGACGGAAAGTTAAATCTGCATTTACGAGCTTAAAGTGTACACAAAAAACATCCAAATCCCTAAAGAACTTGGGGTTGGTCTCATTTTGAAGCTTAATACAAACATGAAATAGTGATAAAAGTTTTTTTTAATTGTCTGGCCAATTGTTTTCACAACGTCCCGGGAAATGAATCCCTTGCTCGTAGGCTCGAATCTGGAGTTTCCGGCCTTCTCTTACATGTCTTAACTTATAGTATATTTTTAAAGGGGGTCATTATTTACATTTTTTTTTTGGTTTTTGTCACTTTTAAGATGAACACAGGTTTTATTATCAATCTGGTCATATTTTTTCTTCCCAGGTCCGATACTCGTGCCTGTGAGTTTAAGCGCACTAACATCGCACCCGAAATAAGAAGGGTAACATATTTTTGTATCCAATCGAACCTGGTCAATTTAATTATTTTTGAATAGACGAGATACATGCTAATGGACATGTCACAGGGTGAGAAAAATGTGCAGCCTGACCGGGACTCGAACCCGGGACCTTCGGAATACCGTACCGCGGCTCTACCGACTGAGCTATCCGGCCGCTTACACATCTTCTCCCCTAAATAGTGAACAGTTCTGAACCGTGACATACTCCCCTGCTATATTGAAATTCGCCCTCGAATTTCACAGAGTTACAGAGCAATGTAAATTAAACTCTGAGCTATATCAGTCACGGCCCCATGTTGGGCGCCAAATGTCACAGGGTGAGAAAAATGTGCAGCCTGACCGGGACTCGAACCCGGGACCTTCGGAATACCGTACCGCGGCTCTACCGACTGAGCTATCCGGCCGCTTACACATCTTCTCCCCTAAATAGTGAACAGTTCTGAACCGTGACAGACAGAACTCAGACAACTACAGAATTATGTAAATTAAACATTAATTAGCTAAGAACCATTTTTATAGTCTTCTAGCTAGTGTTCCCGTTCCCCTACGACGCGTTGCTGTATTCAAGATACGCGCTTGATTGAAAAAGCTATCTAATCAAATCACTTCATTGGTCTTTTTCTCTTTAAAAGAATATAAAATACGGCAGTGTATTATGGTAATTATATAAATCTTTGTGTGTTAGAATTTATATTTAGCGGTTACTGATGTTTTCACTTCAAAGATTTTGATTATTTTAAATAATGGTTTGCTAGTAAAATTGCCTTTTTGACACCAACTTTGTTATCATTTTTCATTTTAATGATAACATTTAGCTATTGATTAGTAAGTAAAAAAGAATAATCAAATTTTTATAATTACCGAGTATATTTCATGCTAATTGTGAGACGAACCCTAAATGACGTCTATATGGGCGCCGCCATTTTGAAATGGACGTCACGTCAGGTTACAACGTAAGTCAACAGGAAAAAAAATTATTTTAACATTTTGACTATATTATTGAATTTATGAAAAAAATGAAAAACATGCCTAGAGATATTAATTTAAATGATTTTACTATTATATTAAATAAAAAATGGAATATTCAAATTTGATGGGACAGACTATAATGTGTTACTACCAATTTCAATTTCATCTCTTGCACATACTGATTCATTTTGATCGATTTTACTAAAATCAACTGCAAACCCTGATTTTTTAAAGCACTTTTGAATTGTTAATTCTGTCACTTCATCCCAAGAATTTGAAAGCAAGTAGATTGCATCTAGGATACTGATTTGTTTTAGTAACTCAGTTCCTCCTAAGCTGGGCTGCCTGTCCATTTCTTTCACAATGTGAATAAGCTGAAATATAAAGAAAAAAATATGGGGGTTAAAATTTCTACAAATATCATGTTGAAATGATTGTCATTTAGATTTGACAACATTTTTATTATTATTATTATTTTATAATTAAAATAGATCTTCTACTGTATTTAAGAAAACAACAGACAAAATTTAAGTTATTTATATAAATTAAAAAAAAATCTTCTACTGTTTTTGTTATGATAGATATAAATTCTACAGTCATTCTTTGATCAAGCAATATGACAACAATTGAATAAAATAATAAAGTACCTGACGTTTCCTAATTTTGAGTTAGTTTTGTAGCCTGGATTATTCCCTGATCCATTGGTTGGGTAAGGGAAGTGGTATTATGTGGCAGGAACTGGACCTTG